CTTTAAGGGACATGATCTGTTTCTGGGGAACTCATGTTTATTGATGATGATGAGGAGGAGGTTCTGATGCTTTTAAGAAGCTCAGAGATTATCATGAAAAATGCCCGCAGGTGGTCGGCATGGCACATTCCGCGCCTAAGCGTACCACCATTATCCGTAGTCCACATCAAACACCCGACCGGGGATTTAACACGACAACGAGAGGATGGACACGAGGCACGGATTCCAGGTCACGCAGTCTGGGCCTTCCTGCGTCACACCTCATCTTCCACCACCTAGTAAAAGCCTACACTTGACCAGTCGACTCAGTTGACAGTTTATTGAGAGCCATTGTGGCCAATGTTAACACAGTGCCGGATTACCACCTGCGGCACTGCCTTGGAATTATATCTGGTTTACCTTCTAATTTTTAGTTTCTTTTGCAGTCCACCTTGTTACTCATTGCCATAGGATGTTGTGATTATTGAAATGTAATGGTGTTTCTCCTTAACTTTGAATTATACCAGAATCCGTCTGCAACGGTAAGAACCCAAATGAAGACTCGAGTAATTACTGGGCAGTCCTCCGGATAGCCTTGTTTGATTCACCATCTACACCAATCATCCTCCTCCTGCTTCTAGTCTATAAGCTAGGTGAACAGGGCGCCATGAATATGCTACCTCTCATGTTGCTAGACGCAGGGTCGCCGATAGCCAGTGTGGGCTTTTGGACTGGCATCGTTGGCCAGCTTACTTCTACCGCTGGGTCCTTCTTTGCGAGTTACTTCATCAACTTATTTCCGTAAGTTTCATTGGATGTGCTCGCGCTACACGTTAAATTATATGACTGTCAATTCGCATGGCATTGTTTTTTCTGCTCGGCATTCTAATGAGAAATCTCTTAGTTACCAGGATGGATCAGATTTCTAGTCATTGCGTAAGTTTTCATTACGAAAGTTCGGTATTTGGACTATGTAACAGCCTCTCGATGGGCACTTACTTTAACCTCCACCCGTCTGCGTTTTAAATATTTAAACCTTTTTTTAATCATCTACTATGTACGTTCATTGTCCCTTGTATGTTTCAGCGGCCAACTTTCTTGAAAATTCCCACGTGTTGCCCTTTAAGCCGGCTCACAAAATTTAGCAGTATTAGACCATGCAAGGTGAATCAGAAGTCAAAAAGTCTTCTTTGCGCTTTTGCAATTTCACGTATTTTGAACTTTCCACAGAGCAATAACTGTTTGCAAAAGCAACTAACTTTTACACGATATAATACACCGTTTCACTGCCAATTTTTCGAACTGGACTTTGTCTGGGTGGTTTATAAAAACTTCACTAGAGAGGGGAAATGTCAAGGCGTGCCCCTGAGGTTATTGTTTTCTACAGGATATGTAGTGTAATGCTTTCGTGGCAAACTGTAATATTTTGGTCAGTGTGTCGTTGTTGGTAGTTCGTTTCTCTGTTCATCGCTTCTGTGTTGTGCTTGTGGGCCCAATTCATTCAGACACAACAGTACACTCCGAATCCCGGCTCATCTTAGAAGGACTGCCTTTTAAAATGAACGTTGTCATTGAAATATGCTTATTTCTTATTAAACACAAACCGGTCAGAAACGTTGCATCCTAGGCCCGATGACTGTGACGCGCAGCCTTCTCATGCGTCCCACTCCTCTTATCCAGGTTGTGATTGACCCAAGTTCGCAGCTAGTGTGACACCGTAACCCAGAAAGTATCATTTGAGGAAAACTCTTCCTGTTGGTCGCCACTTTCCTATGCAAATCATGCTGGTTAGCTGCAGGAATCTTCTATGCTAAAGGCTATGCACTCCCCTCAAATATATGCATGAGCAGTATGTTTTGAAAGCCCTAGCGGCACGACTTCAATATCCTACTGAGACTGTTTTTTCTTTTTTTTTCTAGAAATACAACCTCGGCGCTTCGCACTCTCTTTATTTACCGTCTGTGTACGATCGGGCTAATATCGCTGTCAATTCTGCTGATGGGAAGGATGAGTTTTGCCCTGGGTGCGTGCTTTATCACTTTATTATTTTGTTTTTTTCTTTATCGAAATTTTATTTAATAGTTACAGAAGTCGAGACCCAGAAAAGGGGCTTGACTTCCGAACTGGCATCCTCATCTATCGCTAAAAGAGAGAGGCCTATTTATGGGAGAAAGCTAAGGGCCCATCAAGCTGTTGCAGACAGTTCTGTAGACTTGGAATCATGGAGCTGGGTCCCATAAAATGTCACGTATTTCCGATAGGATGTGCAACATCCGGACCAGGAAGCTCTTGTCGACTCCCAAGAGTCTCTTAACTCCACCTAGTTTTCCCTTCAACAGATTCAAGAATATAATGTGTTAGGCCGAAATGAGTCGCTGTTGCAATTACTTTAGATCGCAAGAGGCATTCCCCTAACGAAAAGTCCCAATGGTAACGAAGTTTTGTCTCAGTTGGAAAAAGAATCATAGGTCGCTGACCGTTTCTTATGACAGAGTGCACTTCTGCCTAACGCCTGTTCCTACTACTCCGTCAAACAGTGAAAATACCCGAAAGTCGGCACTCTTCATATACTTCACCAAGCATTTGTCTTCTTGTGTCTCTAATAGGTGTCTTCTTAATGAACGCTACCCTCTTGGTAAGCGGGACAATCACAACGACTGTCTTCACTCTGATGATGGAATGCACACGAAAGGAGGTTCCGCCCAATGTCCACGCAACACACTACACCATTTTGTCCACAGCGGAAATCCTCGGGAAGCTGCTGTTTGCTACAGTTGCCATGTACCTCGCCGATGTGATCGGCTATGCCGCAGCCTATGTGATATTTTTTTTACTTTCCGTCCTACCTCTTTTGATAATATTCACCAGGAAGAACACCCTGTTAGTGTAATGGCTCTGTTTTTC